GAAGTCAGCAACATCTGTTGCGCGAATGGTCAGACTCGCCCTGTGCAATATCACGACCACACAGAAGACTGGCGTGAAGAGGAAGCAATTCTGGGTTTCGTCTGATGAATTTGCGTCCTGGAGGTCTAATTTTTTTCCTTCCCATCCTTTTTCTTTTAAAGAAAGTATAGGATGGGAAAGTGCATTTGACAGAGGAGAGGACGCATAGGAAGGGGATATATCCTCTTTCTGTGCTATGCTGTCCTCTGTAGATTGAAGGTAAGCAAATAATTTGTATGTAATTATGGATGTCTGCTGTGCGATGGGTAGCTGTCATTACGCTATTTCGACATACTCATGTAACCGTTTGCTAGTTTTCGAACTAATGATGGACAACAACTTGACTGGTAGATTTAAAAAAGCAATTTTTATTACATTTTTTTTTCAAACATTTTCGTCCCTTTTATTTCGATTTAGCGACACTAACAAAAGGAGCGATCCATCGTGACATGTGTAGACCAGATCCCGGGGGCAGTGTAACCCTTCGACTTGGCCAAAATCAATTAATGACGTTGTATCTAATCCTAGGTCGATGAATACGACAGATGTGGCCGACGGGAGGGAACGTCGGTGAAAAATTCATACATCTCCCTCAGAGAGGACCCTTTGCATTTGTGCAAACTGCCATTGCAGTCACATCTGTCCACTTGCTGCATCTAAAAACTTTAGTGATGCCCATTCAATATATCGATGTTTTATTACAGTTTTATTTCATATTGTTTAGTTATACTTTTTACGACTTTTTGGATTGCTCGTACAAAATGTCATGTTACTTTGACATTTTTCATTGTATTTAATTATCGAAATTAATCAAAAAGCATTTTTAGAGTTCTTTGCGATATAAGGTTAAAGCTATTATATCGTTCATTATCAATGCAACTGTAATAAACCTATTATTATATAATGAAAAGAGAGAATAATTTATTACTTATAATAGTTGTGTAAAAATAACATAGGTACATAAAAAAAAACAAAAATGTGTCACCGACGTAGGTTAATTGTGCAATACAATATTGTTCTAAATTCAACGTGTCAAAAATCAGCATTAATTATATAAATCATAACAACTGTAATGTATCATAGAATAATTTCAACGTGAATTAATGCATTGATTAATTAGCAAATCAAATCGATCAAAGTCCGGTTACTTCCTGAAAACGGCAGTTTTGCAAACAACAGCGGAACTGGTATTGTTTCTTACTGAGAACGCTATGCGCCTGAGACATTACGGCGGTGTTGCGCTTCCTGTTTCCAATGAGAATATAAACATGAGCTCTTTGTTTTGGTGCTAGCTATTCCGCGCCCGATCCGGATACTCGATGTGCGGCAACGCGCTCCAAACAATAACCACATTACACGTATTCAAATACATGCATAATGACACATTATTGATAAAGCAAACAAAAATAAAATCGCTTCGAGCGTAGTAATCGGACGCTGCACTATGTCCCTTGCAGAGATAAAGTCGGCCCTAACGAACAAGTGGCTCACGCACACCAGCGCGTAATCAGGAAGTACAATGGAGATTAAAAAGACTCGACACACACGGCGTTAATGTAATAATATTCGTGTGGTGTATGTGAATATCATATAGGTGTACGCACACAAAGGGAGAATTTAAATAAAGCATCTCGCGTTGTACCAGGAAGTAGCCGTACCCGTACTCGTATAACTCACACACACAGACGTTGCGTATGACACGGACACAGTTTGTTGTGGCGCTCGCGTCGCATACGGCGCACACTCGCGCGCCGCCGCCGAGCGCCGACTACGAGCGACTCCGCGTGGGAGCGCGCGCACATGGCTCGATTGGGACACGAAGCGAGCCCCTTGACGATTCACTTTTTATGACACCAATATAACATAGAAGGCATCTGTATTATTTGTAACTTAGCATCACAGAAATGTGCCTACAAACAATATTAGTGATAAATACCTACTTATTTTTCCGTTATAAGTTAACTTGATACAAATTTTTTAATGTTCCTAGAAGTGTTACTTAAATAACTTAGATATATTTAGGTATAAAATTATATAGGTATAAAAAATGATATTAAATAAATAACAATACAAACATTCACGGTCGAGACCTCGAGAAGTAGGAAGATGGACAACGGATGTTACTTTTTCCTTGATCCTGATATCCGCTTTCCACATTTATATTTCCGTAACTTACAATAATAGGTAGTTAAGGGTTATAGAAACTCATATCTTTCAAGTAGATTTCAAGTCAGCCCTGCATCCCTACTGATATTTATTTTTATTACATTCGTGCGTATTTTAGCCTTTTCTATGAATTTCTATCAAGTTTTGCACTTCTACATATTTTAATTTCGCATTTATAGTTGTCTTAACCTCCTGCAGTTTTATACTGAGCTGTTCGTATTACAGTTATTCTCGCTTTATTTTTATATATTATATTTTATCCAAACTGCTTTCAAAATTAGTACCATCTTCTGGATATATTTTATGTATGCAATATGTCAAAAATCTACAGTTATAGAATCCATGTGCCGTTAAAAACAACATTTTAAAAAATGGGACACCAAAAAATTTCTTAATGTTAACAAAAATCAGTAAGCATTTTTTATTTATACTTTCTTCAAACATGAAATGGTATTCGTTTGGAACACATGCGAGCATGTGTGTCTACCAATACGGGTGCATTCCCGATCCGGTTTTTTGATCGTGTTGATCCCAAATCAACGGAGGGTCGCTTTGTCATGACACTTGAGCGCACAGACTCGGCTGGGGGTTAGTCGTTAGAATTAAATACTTCTCCCATTCTCTACAATATATCGACATTGATTTACACATCCCAATTCATATTATTTTTCCTATTTTCTATATATAATAAAAATGTACCCCTTGGTTTATCATTAAGCAAATCATAGTTCCGTAGTTTAAAGAAATCTTTAAGTATATGTAATTACATACTTTAGAAACATACGGAAGTTAAAACTGCCATGACTCAATTAGGAAGTAACAAGTCATTTTTCGTGTGTAAATATAATTTTAAATATAAAAACGAATGACGTCACTAGTCATACTTATCAAATGGAAATATTTCAAATTAACAACAAAATTAACCAATTTTACGCCGGAATCTATTATATTTTGACACAAAATAATTACGTGCTTTATTACTAAAGGGTTATGAAGTTATCGCATTCTTGTATCTTATGAAATTTTGTTGCATTACGGTAGATATCAAAGTACATTATAAAATTGCTAAGGAAATTAGATTACTACACAGTCGTTCAGATTTTTAAACGACCGACAAAGTTAAGAAGTATATACACTTTATTGGATACTGACCGAAAAAGACAAGTACTAGGTAAGCATAAATAAAAATAATCGTGATTTTTTTTACTTTACGTATGCGTAACATTATTATTGTTATCACTCTTTTTCTCGAAGAAAATGGGGAGGGCAACATTGTTGTATGTATGTGTTACGACAATGTAAACTCTATCATTTAAAAAAAATAAAAAAGATAATAGAACCATTTGTAATTCTATTGGCTGGGAAAAATAGTCGATAGTTAGTGTAATGAGTAAGGATACAGTTGTCTTAATGTCTTTCCGTTGCGTGACCAAAAGTGGGCGCGTGTTGGCATCGGCTGAGGTCGACGGAAGTGGACGATTTCTTTGTCCGACATAATTAGCCTCTTAAGACGTGAACTCACATACAAACATTAACACATACATTGATAGTACTAAATCATATTTTCCTTACAATCCTCTTTTTATTTAAATAATAACTGTAAAGTGACATTTACAAAATGATCGTAATAGATAAGTCAAGAGAGAAGAAACTGAAATTGATGAAATATGTTTCAAAAAACATAAGTACAAACGTACATCCAGAAATATATTTTCATACATTTATATCTCAATTTATACAAGTTAGTGTCTGTGGTACGAATAAAATGTGACTTGTTACCCAATAGTTGTTTAACAACGTGTGCCATGAATTTAAACAAAAGTAGAGTATTGTGAACTTATTCGGAAGAGCAAAAGTTACTCAACAGTATCGACAATATAACATTGGCAAGGCTTTGGTTTGCGAGAAGTGTGGCGCAAGTCTGCGGTGACATCGTTGCCTAGTTTTGAGTGGCACCGAATTATGTAACGAGTGTACAACGCCCGAAACGAGGTCGCATTGTACTGACGGCTCGGAAGTGCGTTACGTTTCGACATTTCGATTTTTATGGCAACATTTTTTGTTTATTGTTTGTTCTTATCTCTTGATTTTCTATCCATCGATGTTTCATTTAAATAAATAAATATCCAAACAAATTAATAGCCGTGTTCTTATTTCAAAATATGTCATGTGTATTTTGTAATTTTACTTGAGATCAATAGATTGCGTAGCTTACGAACAAAGAAATAACCTTAGTTCGAATGGAAAGTCATTAGCGAGAATCTCTTTTTATTTGTTTTATTCCATAAATATGCATAACCTACATTTTAAGTCGTCGAAGTGGCGTTAAAATAAAAAGCCAGTGAACCGGGTCAGCGCACAGGAAGTGCCGCCGTTTCCATGCGATTGCAATTTCAAATGGCACGCCATCCGGTCTAGACTTCACATACAACGACACCTTAAGATTTACTCCTTAAAAAGCAGCTGCGGTTAATTTGCCTCTAATTAATTAGGTCGAAACAATCTTCCTGTATTGCAAAAAAAATAAAATATGTTGAGTTCATAGCATCTGTTGAAGAGATTTATTAATATTAGAAGTTGTGGGCTACAACTTCTAATATTGCCCATAGCTATGATATTTTTAAATATTTAACAGTAACTGCATTTGTCAAAAACTAATTAAACAAATGGCAATGTATGTATATATTTTTTATAAGATATAGTATAGTATTTATAAGTATCTCTCTTTTTTCTCTCTTATGTTGTAATATTGTGAAAGGGATTTTGAATATGTATGAATTTATGTTATGTGAAATAAATAGTTTATTTATATATCAATTGTACATGTTATGGGAACGTGGATAATACGTTAAGATTCAGCACATAATATGTATACACAATTTTCCCATGCAGCCATATAAAGATTATGTCGTAACATACAGCCTTGAACTACACCGCACATGTAAGGTTACATAATGCAGTTCATTCGAGATCTACTCATCTGCAAAAAGCTTTCAATATCACTGTTTACATATAATCAAAACTTATTTGTCCATAAGGTAGGAACACACAGGTTTCAGGAACAGTCACTTAATCTTTGTTTTTTAATGGGTTTGTATTCTTCTAATTGTTAGTTATTGTTTAATTAACATTTATGTGCGAACGTTAAATAAATTTTAATCGTTTTACGATATTAACGGATGTGGGCTAACTTCCTCTGAGCGGTTCCTGTTCCGGTTGGCGGACATTAGCGGAAGTTGAAGTAGATTTGCGCGCGCCCCGCGACCCTCTCGTTTCCGACACCCCCAAAGCGAACGTTTTTAATTTCCTTTTGCAACTAGAACTAATTTCCTTTTTAAATAGTAATTAAAGGGAAAGAAATTATCGAGGCGTTGAAATTAGTATTGTGTTAAAAGTAATAAGTGTATATGCAGAGAAACTTCAGAATTTCAATAACGTTAAAGATTTGCCATTGATTTATAACCTATAAGTACCTAATCCAAAGAAAAAGTGAGGCTAAAAAAGAAATTAGGATAAATTTGCTCCGCGTTATTTACAAAATGACATTTCGAAAATCGACTCTTCGGAAGACGTCAAACCTGTATGGAACACTCCATTTTGACCCAATCCGCTGAGGGAGAGCCATATAAACAAGAAACTGAACAGAACACTCCATTCAATACTAACATTTTAGAATATCGACGTATAGAAAAGTCAGGAAGGTCTCGACTTTAAGTGTATCGATGATCGTATTATTAAGAACTACCCTACAATGTTGCGTATCATCAAAATTAGTTATAAAATAAAAGTTCTAATGAAGAAATACAAATGTGAAGCAATGCTAGAATTTAACAGAGGCAAGTAGTCTGTTAGATTGTACCTACATATGCCGCTCACGCAATGAACTTATTTCGGGCACTTCCGCATGTTCAGATTCGAGTCCGGCCGCGCGTCGCATTCCGACGGGGCCGCCGCCGTCAGCCACGCACCTCTGACTAAATGTTTCCCATGTAGCTCACTCACACATTTACCTCCAACCCATTATTACCTACCCGCAAACATTAAGCTCCTGTCCTCTTATCTTACAATTTTTAGATTGTAATGCATTAAAGCTACGCTTAAAAAAATTACGTATGTATAATTAAAAAGGCGCCAAATTCATCATATTCACTTCCATAAACTTAATAAGCAATGAAAGCTTATCAACAATCAAACATTACTATCCATAGATAACAAATGGCCGTCGATTACGAAAACGAAAATAAAAACACGAATAGACAATGTAAGCGATCGCGTAACATTTATAAAATCGACAAAGAAAGTAGCGTCAAGATCTGCGGTCACGGTCACGACGGCCACGTACGGTTCAACATCGTTGTGTTTTATTTTCCAAATTACTCCACAACATGAAACTACTCGACGCCTAACCGCAGACTAGGCCGCCAGCCGCCATGTTTGTACGTGCAAGAGCGGGACGGCTGCCGCGTCGCCGCGAGCGGGGAGAGAAGGGAGCAACAGGTAAAGATTCCGAGGCCACTTCCGCCTCGGCTGCCGAATATTTCTGTCTCGAACCGGTAGTGGGCCTGGGCCGGTCGCCAGGCCTCTCTCAATCTCAATCCTATAAACGGAAAGGGTTGAATATTATAAAGTAACAGGTACAAAACATACGACACTTGTTCAGCCAGATGATACTGACAAACAAAACTAGTAGTGTCAAATTGAAACTAGTTTTTCTTTCACAGCAACGAAATAAAAATGTTACTTTTTACTCACAAATTTCCATCAAAATTGGTATTAACTGTAATTAATCCACAGTACCTATATAGCTATAGATAATGTAATTTTTAATAAATCACTACCTCCCTACATACGAGTGTTCAAAATTTAATCGCAGAGAAACGTAGATATGGTGGGTAGGTACGTAGGTATGCTGATAGTCGAATGAGCTCAGCTGAAACCGGTTGACGTTCATATTGTCTCACTCTGCATCAGGAAACCGGCGGGTGACTGTTCAGACATTTCCTGTGTTCGGTCATCGTGGGTTGTGCAGGCGCAGCTCTAATTCTTTACTTTAAATAACTGCCTAAAACATGTCAATGCTTAATGATATAAATTTAACAAAGAAATCAAACATTATTCCTGTCAGATAATCTACCGAATGATAGAATTATTTTCCAACAGATAAATTGATGTACAGAATTTGAATTCAGTAACATTTAACGGCTTAGTAGATATACGTGTTTCGCCGCCGACTGCCTAGTGCTCCACAAACAAGGAAATATTGAGAGTTATTAAAAACTGGTGCGCTGACGTAATCTTAACACTATTAGCGCTTCCGCATGCCCTAGGCGGATACAGGTATTCTATCGCCAAGCAAAATGAAATAAGTACCTAGTTGTATTTTATACAATGCGTATTTGACGACCGACTTGTTGATTTACAAACGTAAACTTACTGCGATAACGGTTTACGTTCGCGGAAATAATGTTCGTACTTGCGTATAGTTAAAAATGGGACGCGGTCTCAGACTGGCTCCCGAAGTTTTATCTCATTCTCCGCAATATTATGTGTGGCGACAAGGCGCGGGACGCGGGGAGCGCGCGGAGCGGGGGGCGGCGAGCGCTCGTCCGTCCGCCCGCGCCGCCACCGCATCATCAGTCCGCGTCGGAGAGTTGCCCGCGACGCTTGTCTGCGAGCTCGATCCCTCAGATACGCTGCTGGTTTACGGCGTGCCGTAACACGACACGTTTGGAGGGACCGCCGCTGCTTCAAAGTGTGCCTGGTGCTCTGTGAACTCTGGATACTGTGCTTTTAGTGTTGTGACGATGTATATGTGCTGATTTCTCCTGTTCCTGTCTATCGCCTTTAGGATTTTTCTGACAACGCACTCAGTTCCGGATCAGCTCAGCCGGTGAGTAGCAGCGCTTATCACAGGCCGCACTATCTCGTATTCACGCATTTCCGACCCCGCCCGATAACAACTCGCTTGCTGCCACAGTTAAAACTTTGTGTTCGGTTAATTCGGTTTTATTTTTTGCCGCGAATTCAAAGTTGGCTGATGGAAAAAGATGAACAACTTAACAAACAAACCCATGAAATAAAGATACCATGAAAACATAACATTTCGCCAAGTTTAAAAATTTATTGTAAACACTGCATCCGCTCGCTGTTATCAGTACATAGAGTTATTTATAGCGTACAAATATAATTATTGTCCCTATACCCATCTAGAAATGTACCCCATCGGTATTATGCACGTGCAACATTTCACCCCTTAATTTTTTCTAGCCGATCATCCCCAGGGGCTTAGGATGGTCCATTTCGATAATAATTCTTCCCCTATATTGTTGCAGTGACACTTATTCATAGGGCACAATGAAATGTTAGCTAGCAGGTGTCTATCCTACAAAAGTTTTTGTCATATCAAAATCATAAAAAATAAGCTAACTCAAGTCATTGTGAAGAATTTAATCTAAATTATTATCTCTTATATATAATCAGTTTTCTATATACTTTTAAAAAATTATCGTGTAATTTTGATATTGACTTTAATCTGCAAATAAAGTAAAGTAACTCATTTAGGTTTCTAAGATTATTGTTATAAATAAAATAAACAAGTATTCTTTCCTAAGTAATAATTTATTACTGAAATTAATAATATGCAGCAAGTCACGTATTACTTAAGCGACTGATGAAGTGATATCTCAAGTTGAGTTATACGAATTATGGGAAGTTCTGTACCCATTATTTTTTCTATTTAAATTATAAAATGGTTATGAATAAAAATAAGAACGTGATTCAGAATTTATTTTGAACATAAATCGAAATGCAATAAATATCTTTTGAAACGACATTTGTAGCGCCATCTGTTGTCGAGTAGTAGTTCTGGTTTAAGTTAGAAGCTTATTTTGTAAACAAGAGTCATAGCAAAATGATCATTATTTTCAGATCAACGTGATGAAAGTAGTGAGTCTGCAATTGCCGTCGGGGCCTAGTATGGAGCGGCTACCGCTGCCATTCAGCCCAACGGAACTTTTATGGCGGTACCCACTACCTTGGGCGCCGCCGCCACCGTCACCCCTCGGTGACACGAAGGCACAACTACCCGCCGGCCTTCCCCCAGAACCAAGATTATGGACACGTGAAGATGTGGCAGTTTTTTTGAAATGGTGTGAAAGGGAATTCGATTTGCCCAATTTTGATATGGATCTCTTCCAAATGAATGGTAAATAAACAATATTTTATTTTCATTCAATCTTGAACTTTTATCAAAAATTTGAACATCTTTAAATTGTAAACCTTATTTGCAGGAAAGGCGCTATGCCTCTTAACCAAAACTGATTTGGGTGAACGTTGCCCAGGCGCCGGCGATGTTTTACACAACGTTCTACAAATGCTAGTACGCGACGCTGCGCTGTTGGGAAGAGTACCTTCATCCCCGGTGACACCCACCGCCCGCGCCGCGCCTTACCCGCCATCGCCCCACAGCCACCCCCCCACACCCACCTGGGCCGTCGACAGTTTCCATCACTTCCACAGTGCTGCGGCAGCTGCCGCGCAACCTAACTCCGTGACTTTGAGCCCAGCGCCCTCAATCGACAGTTCTGGAAGTCCACAGAGGGGAGAAACGCTCGGTTATGCGTCGGCGTATGCTCCTCCTGTACCCGTGTCAGCCCAAGCGGCGAGTTCTGGTAGCAACCATTCTGACTCAGATGAAGAGAATCATTTCGCGCCCCCACCACGTTCGCCGAAGGAGACTTCATTACAGAGTCCCGCGCCGCAAACGCACTCAGCGCCGCAACACACGCACTACCGGGCACAACATCGGGAATTCTTCCCGAATGATATGCCCGAATCAAATACAAGTAAGTTATCTATGTATTTTAAATACAAAGGAATATTGGTGCTATCAAAATTACAAATACTTATAGATATTTCTTTTATTTCAGATGGAAGACTATTGTGGGATTTCCTTCAACAATTACTCAATGATCCTACCCAACGATACACAAATTACATCGCGTGGAAAAACCGCGACACCGGAGTTTTCAAGATAGTGGATCCGGCGGGACTCGCCAAACTGTGGGGAATCCAGAAGAACCATCTTTCAATGAACTACGATAAGATGTCACGTGCGCTCAGATATTACTACCGCGTCAACATTTTACGGAAAGTGCAAGGAGAGCGTCACTGTTACCAGTAAGTAGCTGAAACTTTACTATTGTTTTGATTTATATTGCACACACCATATTTTATGTAGTAACACCGCAACTTGTTATTTGCAGATTTCTACGGAACCCGACGGAACTTAAGAACATAAAGAACATCTCGCTGCTGAGACAGCAAATGAGTCCGACGCGGGTGGCGCCACAGCCCGTAGTGAAAACTGAAATGAAAGAAGAACGTTGCGAGGATGAGCACGTGGAGGAAGACATGCCTACAGATCTGAGTATGGCCGCGTCGGAGCCTTGGCGGAAGCGCGCGCGCTCCGACAACCCGCCGCCGCCCGCCTCGCACGACAAGCACCGCATCAGCGCCCTCATCGGAGACAATATGATGCTCAAACGTGAATCTGAATACAACCCCGAACATTACGCTCTTAATTTAAAAAGTGAAAAATGTGAACAATGATTTACGCTCGAGTATATCGTGGGACACGACAGTGCGAAACGTTTTACGTGAATAATTTATGTGTAAACAACTCCACCCTAAAGCCTCTAGTCGAATTCCTCTCAGAAAGGATATTTTATTAGTCTTCCTATTATTATCATGTTATACATGAGAAATAGTAAATTTTTATGAAAAATCAATCACTGAGAGTACTTTGACAGGTTCGGTCTTTGGAGTTATACAGGGTATGGACCTCAATGCCTTTGTGCCAAGTGATTTTATCAAATAGTGTCAATTAAAACGTAGCTAGCAAAAGGGACGAAAATTTATATGTGTTAGAGTTAGAGAGTAATTTAATGTGTGCAATGGACTATTCACATTGGACAGCTGACTGCAATCTCGCCGCAACTAAGGAGATGTGATGTTGCCAAAACTCGATGTCGACGTGTGCGTACCAATACGCATCCGTCTTTGCATTTTTTTGTAATTTAATTAGTTTTATGTATGATTTTATTTTTGTTTTGAAAATTGCTATGGAGAGTACATAAATGAGTTAACTGTTTCAAAAATTTATCACCACATTGTTGTCTTCCATTGAATATTTTTGGCAAACATTTCAATTGTAGCTTGTGAAAGATTTTATTATAAGTGCTACCACATCATTATTTGGCAACTATAAAGGAATCATGAAATAATATTTTGGATTCTCTTAAAAGACAATAACTATGAATATCGTAATACCTAATTATTGCCTTGAAATAATTCATAAAGGACTCCACTGTGATAAAATATAAAGTGGTAGACATGTAGAATATGCTAGGGCTTTTACTCAATTATTTCCAGCTACAATTTTCTGTGATCTCTTTTATCAATATAGGTAAATGTCATAGAGTAAAAATATTGTGTTTGTAAATATTAGTCTTGTAAATTTTAGGTTAAGGAACCTACTAAAGAGAGTATGTATGATTTGTAAAACAAAAAGTGGAGCTTTATCAAAGTACCTAGATATGAGTAAGTACTATAACAACTGAATTTGTATTTTTTACATTTATTTCTACTTGGCATTTCATTGCCATCATTTCCATCTAGTACACAATCGAAACATGTTTCGAAAAATATTGTGTCATTTGATTATAATAACTTAAAATAAATGAAAATAATGTTATCAGAAACTTGATTTTTATTATCCTTAACACAAGTACACGGAAGAAAATTACCTTGATTTTATTTTCCTTTTATAAAATAGAACATTTTTAGTGAGATGTGAAAACTGGTTTATGAAAAAAAATGTGAAAAATGGCTTTAAAGCACAACTCATATCTGATGACAAAAGGACAATCGACTTTAGTAAGATTTAGTATCGTATTAACGTTGAATTTTGTGATAACATATTTTTAAATTTTTACGGTGACCGTAAGTAGTTATGATCCTCCACAAATTATTTTTTGCTTTGTACAGCGCCACCTGTTGTTGAGTTAATTTAAATTTTAATAACTTAAAATGATTACAGAATAACTTATCATTTTTTGGAATTTAGCGTATTTATTGTTTGTCTTTCTACATTCTATTTTAATAAAGTTTATTTAAAAAGACTTTATTATGATATCAAGTGATTGAGCTACTAACGCCATCTTTACTATATTGGCAGGAATGCTCCGTCTCTGCAGCCCAGCTCTTTTATAACACACCATAGATGTCACTATTTATACTAAACTAATATATTTATTTTCTTTGTTATCTTAAGTGGGCATCAAGAACAACTTATATCACAAAGGCATAACCTAATCTATAACTTATTCCATTTTTAAATTTATAACATGTAGTTCTTTCATTTCTCTAAAGTATATTAAAAGTAATAGTAAAAATAAAGATTCTTTGATTAACAATGGCATTTATTCTTACACTTACTACTTTATACTAAGATTAATTAATTTTCAGGATGCTGTTGATTTTGAAAGAAGATAACATCATCTGCTATCACTGTAGACGCACTCCTCACTTGACCATCATCAAGTTTGACTTCCCCATATGACAGTTTACCAGTTACATATACTCTTTGGCCTTTTTTCAGATATTTATACACTGTGTCTCTTAAACCAGGTTTAAATATACTAATTCTATGCCAATCAGTTCTCTGTAAAATATCTCCAGACTCATATTTGTAGCTGTAATGTGTAGCAAGCGGGAAGTTGATTACTGGATGTTCCTCTGTGCCTCGTTTCTGGGGATCTGCACCAGCTCTTCCCAGTAATGTGACTTGATTGATAGCTGGGAACAATGTATGCACCATTTGAAAACCATACAATAAAGATGTTATTAAATTATGTATTACATGATTATTTTATTATCTTTATAGCAAAAAAGACTATATAAACACTTGCAACATGTTAAATTGATATAAAATATAATAAAGGAACTTACTTTTCTCAGTTTTTTGTGTATCAAAATGAACCATTGTCGTGTGTAGTTGCTTCGATAGGTGATGTACACTTCGAAACGCACCGAACTAAAAATATTACATTATCTATTACGTTTTTGTGAAACAAACTTGATGATTTACAGCAATATTTTTTATTTTCTATAAACACAAACTTGTAAATCGATAATTTTTTTCAATGTTTAGTATTAACAAAAAGGTCATCTGCGTATTAGACGATGTATAGAGAACTGGTATACCGGCGTTTAGGTTAGTTTTGTATTTTCCCATTTCTTACCTTAGATATAGAAAACATCATTGGGTTGATAAAATGAACTTTAATAATATCGAATAAAAGCCACCAAACACAAAAATACACTAAAGGGGAAAAATATCACAATTTTTCCGCCAATTTCCCAAATGCAAACTAAATTATCTGTCACTGTCAAGTGTCAAATATGAAACAATAAAAACAAGGATATGATGGTATCTGCCACTCTTTGTACTGTACTCTTTGGTATCTGCTCTCATTATTAATAAAAACCATTCAATAGTAACAAGGACTGCATGATACATGTTTAGCAAACATCGACCTTGCTTATTAAATGTGTACATCTGATATTTAGTGGTATAACTTTTACTACTATGAATATTCAAAATGTTATACGTTATATTTTGAATTATTTTTTTAAATCAGTAAAATTGGTTGTCAAAACTTAATTAAAGTTATTTAAATAAATATATAAGTTTTCCTACTTGATTAACAGATTATGGTGCCAATGCCTAAAGCTGGTAAGTAAAAAAATAGATAGACTTGACTCTGGTCGTTTTTTAATCATATTTATCACTTTTAACCACAGCTTTTGACTAAAGATTGCAGAAGTTAGTTTCAAAATGTACAAAATATTTTTACAGGAGTGTAAAATACTAATACTTTAAACCTCACTACAAAAATTAGTTAATATTATTGGACAAACTTAAAACATGTTTAAATATTTCGCGGGGATTACGAATTGACGATACCAACATTTGGAATAAAAAAAATGCGTCGTTCGTTTACTGACAGTTTCTCTATGTAGTATAGTGCAAAATCTAGTTATATACTTAAAAATTGTCTATTCAAGTACCACCACCATAAGAACCAATCCAGAAGAAGTTGTTGCCTGTGAAGGATGCCTTCAGCAGCGAATGTAAAGTCTGAAAAACCAGCCTCTTCGGAGGCTACAGATAATTCACCTGTAAGGCAAATTATCACCGTTATTGAACATAAAATACGCAATTTGGAAAAAAGAAAGGTAAGATATCTTTTACACTACATCAACATCTATTTATTGCATGTGTATATATTGCAGTCCCATGACTTCGTTTCCCATCATTATTAAAATATTCTTATGGCATTTTGTAAGGCCTAGTCGTGCATATGTTACATTTTATGATTTTGCGGCCTTTTGTTGTATGTAAATAAAGTTGCGGTGTTCCTCTGGACGCCATTTTAATACATGTGCTCCGGCCCAACATTATTGTTACCAAACCGCTACGCCCAATATTTTTACATACTCCCATACAGATTATAAGGAAAGTTTCATGTGTTAATACGTATAAGTGTTAGTATTCTTATATTACTTTTGTTCTTTGCAAGAGCAATATATTTTTTGATTTGCAATATGTTTTTTGTATATATTTATGTTTTTTTATCATAAACTGATGAGCAATTGCATATAGTGATAACGTAATCATATCTTCATAACACTACCGGCTTTAAATCGATGAAAAATACGTGAAGTTGTAAGAATTTAAACAAAAATTCAATTGTTTGGCTTGTGGTTATCTTAGTGTCACATTTAGGGGTCTAATGGTTCTTTATGCGTCAATTTCCCATTCTATATATGCATATTTCATGACATAGTGCTACTATTACATTGTTATTTACTACAACAATAAATTAGTCATACTTTTTGTTTAATGTTTGCATAATATGTTATTTAATTTTAGAGCAAGCTGACATCATACCGTGACCTGCAAAAAGCTGGTAAAGAATTGAACACAGACCAAAAAGTAGCAGTAGCCAAGTATGATGAGGTTGTGCAGACATTGGATTTTGCAAGAGACCTCTCTAAACAAATTACTGCTATTGTGTCATCAGCAGAACGTGAGGCTAAGAAGCAAGCTAAAAAGGTAAAGACATATGTAGTGCTTTTAATCATAATATAAGCTAAACAAATATATATATATGAAAATAAGTTGTAGATGTTTCAAAAAAAGTAACACATTTCTATTTTAAGGGTTGCATGTTTTTATGGAAAAATATTTTTCAACATCGACTGGATTGTATAACCAGTTCAAGTTATTACAATTTTTTTTATGTTGTCATATACATACATGTAAATAAATTCTAGGATGCATGGGTCCGTTATGCTGCTGAAACAAATAAGATCCGAGAAGTTTTACTAATTTTGGATTGCCTCATGCAAATGGGCAGCTTGGAAGCTCGGGAAGACTTCTTGAATGGGACTAATGGAGCAGCAAAACTTACTGAAGAGGATTTAAAAATTTTGGATCATTTGTAAGTATAAATCCAAGAGGTATTAATTATAATTTGAGGTTACGTCATTCATCCAATCATAATAAAGTAAATCATTTTTTTATTTAAATTTGTCCCTTGCAGGGTAGTAGGCGTCCAAAGATCACCAAAATGCCAGATTAACTGACACCTATACAACTAGATTCTTGTTCCATCCTATGGGAGGGCTTACCTAATGTTATTGATTTGACTAATTAAAATTAAATTATTACAGATATCCTGAAGTTACACCAAAACATGATCTAAATGAGGAAGGACAATCTGGATTTCACTTGCAAACAGTTAAAGCTGCAGAACATTTATATGCAATAATTGATGGCAAACCTAAAGAGATTTTGGGCACTACTTATGCTCATATCAAGGAGATAGTCACTGCTGTACATGAATGTGGCTATTTCGACAAAAGTGCTGATAATGCTGTATTAGAGAATGATGAGGTTCACATAATTGTGGAGGAAGAACAGCAGCAAGTGATTCCCTTGGAAGTGGAAGAGACTAATGCTGTTCCTTATCCTCCTCCTACCATGCTTCCCGCAGCGCCCGCACCCTCAGTGGTGCCCCCTCCTGCCTACCCTCTGCGCCCTCTTCCTCCTATAACCTTACAGGAAGTCGAGCATGCATATTTCTCTCAACAATACCCCCAGCAGAGACCTATTTCTGAAGTTATTGGTTCACAAAATTTCTTCTTTCTTCAAGAATCCGAAATTGACAGTCCCATAGGCACTCCCCATCCTCCCCAAATTATGAATCAGCCATCCCCACCAGCACCAATCCCCACGCAGACTTTTACAAACCAACATTTTGTGCAATTGCCTGGTGGCCGGGTTCCAGAACAGACGCCGATGCCTATGCCTCCGCAGCCGCACTTCGCCCCGCACCACGAGCACGCGGGGTACCCTGGCGTTCCTCTGGCGGGACCCCTGCCGCCACAGCAACCGCTTACACATCCCCAACCTGTACCCCAGCCACAGATGCAACCTATCCCACAACCGCTTCCTCAATCAGTTATTATTGAGCAACAACCACCAGCACAGGTGGAAGAAAGAAAAGCTCCTACCCCAAATGACGACAAAAATGAAGATGAGTGGAAAGAAAGTCGAAGCCCCGAAAACGAAGAAGGCTTCGAGCGTAAAACTCAAGGCCAAGGAGATGGTCAAAATAGATACAGGCGATACGGTCGTACGGTAATCCGAGGTTCCTCCAATGGATACCGCGGACGTGGCTCCTACCAAAACAGGCAAAACGATGGATACCACCCGCGCGGTGAATATCAGAACAGAGGGAACAAGGATGGCTATCAGAACAGACAGTATGATGGCTACCAGAACAGACACAAGGATGGATATCAGAACAGAGGCGGCAGCGAGTACTACGGCAACGGAGACACGGGCGATAGCAACCATCACGAGAATGGGGGCCGCGACAGATACAACGATAGCAACCAGTACCAGGGCGGATTCAAAAGCCGCGGCCGGGGTGGGCCCCGCGGCGGCCAGCGCGGAGCTCCCCGCGCACCGCGCCCGCAACAGTACAACCGAAAACCTGAAAATGTCGAATAACAAGCGAAGCCTTAAAAATATATTACAATAAATTAGGCATCGCACTCACTTTGACGACTCAATCAAATCATTCGTGGAAGGCAAATTTCACCGGCAACAACGCGCTGGGGCAACAACAAAACAAGAGATTAACGCAAAAAAAAAATAAAAAAGAATAAAAAAAAAGTAAAATAATAAAATTTGAAACTAAATAAAAAATAAGTTACATGAATTTAGATGTATGATATATGCAATTATAATAAGTTACGTTAAATCTAGATTCTTGTATAGGTTTATGTGACGCAAGTGATGTTTGTGCGCGCGGGGTGCGGTGTGGCGCGGCGAGGTGCGGGCCGCCCGCCGCCGCCGCTCGCCGCCGCCGCCCGCCGCCCGCGCGCCTCCGCCTCGTGATAATACAGAAGTACAGGAGACGTGCACACCACTGACCAAATGTCAACCGCGATCCTTCCAAATCTCAATGACCTTTGTATTTTAATTACGCTCGGTATTTTTATGTATTAGCGAACTATATTATGTTTGTTTTCCTTTAATGATTATGATATGTATAAAGCAGAAAAATTATTTTAATAATTTTGTATCGTCCGCTTCTTTGAATGTGTTAAAATAATATTAATTGCAATTCACTTTTCCATTGTCTCACCATTTTGAGAATCTTTTATAATATTTTAATTTAACGTCTTGCGAGATGTCATGATGAAATTGCAGGATGTGAATAATGTGTCTTTGGTAAACTTGGTTAAAATCCATTTTGCCTCTCTATTTCTTTACATCATTCTCAATAGAGGCTGTGTGCAAACAAATTAAAGTATTCTATGAACATATGACCTTTTATTTAACTCATCTTTTTATACGGGGTTCTTAAGCGTAACTGTTGAAGTAAAAGACCAAGCATTACCCTTCTTTTACTTTAATTCGTATTCTCCACCTTGTAAGAAGTTTTGCTACTGACTAGTCCAAAAGTACACTCACAATCACACTCAAATGCACGGTAAAGAACATCAATAAAGTAAGGTTGGCGCATAGATGCTGTCAATAGGGCGTTTCTATCTTTTTGGCGGCTGATCTTGAGCCACAATAGCCTACTAATTGTATAAGTTGTTAGCCGCATGTCGAGAATAGCCGTATTAAGATCCAAATGTAGATGGCTACTTTTATAAGACGATAGAATTTGGGGACTCCCCGCATAGTGTGTAACGAATGAAAATGCGCAACTCCACTCGATGAAAACATAGCTTAGTAAAATTAGTACACCTAATTAGATATTTTCTAGATTAGATTCAAATGTATTCCGGTCACATTGGTTATCTAAATACTATAACAATAAGTTCCACTTCCTTCCAT